TCTTACATCTTAAAGCTCATTCCTGCGTTTTACGTGCTAGGTCAACTTACTTTCATTCAGCTTTATCCAGTGACTGGGTTAAAACTGATGGAAACTTTATCGTGTTTGAAAAGTCTAATATCTCCCCTGAAGTATTTCAAATGATATTAAGGTAAACAAATAAAAATAAATAAATTGTTTACTTACTACGCGTTCTTTTTTTTTACACGTTCTTTTATATACTTAATTTCATATTTGAATTTTTGTTTGATTCCTTTCATATTTTTTTTTCATAATAGATATTTATATTCTGGTACTATTAACCTCGAAAATCAACATCCCACGCGTATAATGGATCTCTTGGCTGCTGCTGATGAATTGATTCTCACTGAACTTGTAAATTATTTGAAAGATTACCTTTTAACATATTATGATAAATGGATTCGTCAGCATCCACTTCAAATTCTTTATCATATCGCTTTTCGACTTGATTCTTGTAAAGACCTTCAAGATATTTGTTTAAAATATATTTGTGAAAATCCAACTTCAGTATTTGGAACTACAGCTTTTTCTGCTATTGATGAATCTGTTCTAATCTCAATTCTTAAACGTGATGACCTTCAAATGGATGAATTAGAGTTATGGGATTATTTAATTCAATGGGCTATTTCAAGAAATTCAAAACTTAAATCTGATGTATATAAATGGTCTGATGTTGATTTTCAAATTTTACAATCCACTTTAAAAAAGTGTATGCCATTTATTAAATTTAATCATATAAACCCAAATCAAATGTTACCTCGATTACGCCTTTTTAATCGAATTATACCATATTTTGCTTGTAATAATATTGAATCAACAGTAAATCAAGACTTAATTTTGAACAATTTAATTGAATCAAATATTATCAAATTTAAACATACGACGGTTATTTCACGATGGATTGATTATAATGATGATCCTGAACAAACACGATTATGTCGAAAAACTCCATCTCATTCATTCAAACTTTTATTACGTGGTAGTCGAGATGGATTTAGTTCTCGAAAATTTCATGAACTTTGCGATAATAAAGGTGCAACATTGGTAATTATGAAGGTTGCTGATACGGGGGAAATAATTGGAGGTTATAATCCAGAAAGTTGGAAAGGTGGATTTTTTGGTCATTGGACTAAATCATTGGACAGCTTTATTTTTTCTTTGGGAGTTGAAAGTGAAAACCTAAAAAATTCAAAATTAAGTAGAATTAAAGAAGAAAATTCGAAAATGGCTT